AGACGTTTTGGTCCTCACTGAAAACAGCAATATCAGTACACAAAGTCTGTGAAGTACTACATTTGGTGCTGTAAAAGAAACTAGAATCTCGAGGCAGGAGCAAATTTATGTAACTGCATTATATATAACTGTTGTTGATGAAGTTGGTTTTGTTCTGGTAGAAGCTAAAAGCTTAAGTCATCAACTGGATCCCACTGTGTTGGCTGGTCTTTGAATGTATTGTAAGAAGTCAGCTTCTGCTCAAAACCAAATCTCACCCTCTACTTGTAAAAAGCAGTAATTTAAGAGAGGAAACGTGAGAAAGTATTGTTAGAATAAGGATTAAGCCTCTAACCAGTAATCCCAGCATGCCCAAAACTAAGACTTTGTCCAGTGTTTTATAGAGATTAATGGAGAAATGAGCTTTAAGGAGCAAATTGAAGGTGGACAATGAGGTTTGATTATGCCTAAGAGAGCACAGAAGGACATATGAAAAATATAAAAAGTGAGCAAAGACAGATTCTGACACTGGTGGTGCAGGGTTTCACATTACTCTAGCTCAGCAGTTTGCACAGGATGCTTTCAGCCTGCCTTCCTTACTCTTATCTATCTAAGGAGTAAATCCATAAATCTCAGTATTTCACACTGGGTTCTTTTTATACTCAGTATAGTGGAGAGACACTGGCACAGGTTGCCCAGAGAAGCTGTGTCTTCCCCATCCCTGGAAGTGTTCAAAGCCAGGTTGGATGAAGTTTGGAGCAACCTGGTCTAGTGGAAGGTGTCCCTGCACATGTCTGGAGAGTCAGAACTGGATGAGCTTTAAGATCTCTTCTAACCCAAACCACTCTATGATTATATGATTTCCAGCTACCTTTTTAGACTTATTTCAAGCAAATAGGGCAAAAATTATTATGTTTTTTTTGTTAATTTGTGAAGGCAAATCTGTTCCTCCCAGTCATTCAGCTATTGTCATATTGCCTATTTGATGAGACAAGAGTCATGGGCTTTTGGTTGGCTGCACATTAAACACTGTGAAGCACAGTTTCCAAGTTCTGAACTTGCCATAAGCAAGAGATGCAACTTCTGTTGCTTCCCCCAAAGGCTGTTACAACATCCAGCAAGATTACGTGGACAAATAACATTTTGTACCACAGCATATGTTAAATTCTACATTATCCTCAGAGGAACTTACATAATATAAAGTTTAGTGCAAGCCTTTAGGGGTATAGCCTATCTAAATCTTTATTTAACACACGAGATCCCCCTGACTGAATGAGCATTGAAACCACTTACAGGAAACTCAGTTGTTTATCCATGATCCTGTGGGTGAGTTCTCAGTTTTCAGTGTAACAAAGGTTTTAAGCATTTGAATGTTTCCTTAACTTCAAAGTAATTACTCTTACTTTTCAAGTTATGCACAAAAGCGTAAAAGCTTAAAATCTTACGTCATTCACAGGTCATCTCAGAAAGAGTAACCACTGTACTAAGCTTTACCCCGGGAGACAATTCTCACAGGAAGTAGAATAAGATATAATTTCTTTATGCATTGCTTCTTGAGCAGACTGTGGAGAAGTTAACTGCATGCTTAACTGCCCTAGTATAATATAAAGACTTCAGAATACTTTAGTTTGTGACAGACCTCAAACATATTTGTTGTCTTAGCCATCTGTTTTTCTGTAACTGGTTCCTATTTACCCCTCTCTGTGTGTTTTCACACTTCTCCAGGACTTACACTGACAGTCAGTGGCCATTCTGCTGCAATAAACCACGAGCACGTCCCAGAGGACAGATACTCTGAGCTCCTTGCAGAGATCCTTATGGCAACCCATAAAAACCTGGAGTTCAGTTCCAGGAGTGCAGTGAGATCACTTAGAAAGCACCTCTGAGTAGTGCTTGTCGAGCCCCTGCCACACACTCCATTGTGAAGAATACATCTCTAAAAGCATCTCACACAAGACTCCTACCCTTTTCATTTCCTACACTACTTTATACACACACACACAACATTGTACCTTCCAGGACCAGCTCCCCTTCAGAAGAGAAGAATCTCATGACAGACTTTTACAAGGGTGAGACTGATTATGGATGTGTTTTCAGCTGGAATAAAGCTTTACAGCAGTCCTCCCACAAAGAGATGTCTGGCAAATTCAGTGCAGTAACAAATTCCAGAGGCTCTTCTCTCTCCTTGACAGCTGTTTATTGACTTTTATGATAAAATGCTCCCTACTGAGGGGCCCCATGTGGCAACACTCTTGGCTGACTAGAGATTTTGTTTGCCAAAGAGCTCAGATTTGGTGGGCAAGTAGAAAAGTCAAAGCCAAGATAGGCAGCTGGTCAATGGTGGTTGATACTCAGGATCACAAGTCTTCCAAAGTTAATGTAAGAAGTAAGAAATAAGATGAAAATAAAATTTGTCCTGTAGCTAAAACATGGCATAGCAGGGTATCAGTAAGGTGCCTGCAGGCCCACATTGAGATCCTAAATCATCAACAGTATCATCATCATACACTGTGGGTTGAATAGGGCCAGCAACGTTTGTGGTTAATAAAGTGACAACAAAGAGGAAAATCAATCTCATTGAAGCCCCTTGGGCCTATTCTAATAATGATTAATGAATAAAAGGTGTAGATTCCATACAAGGATGAGCAAGGGGGTTGTGTACAACTGTAGATTGGAAAGGACCTGGTATGGGTAGGATTTATGGTATCTGCTAGAGTGCTTACAACACACATTCACAGACCAGAATATATTTGTAAGAAAGGTTGGAGAAAGATGCCACTAACTGGTTAGTGGAAGAAAAGATGTTGCTTATTAAATTGAGAATAAAAGACAAAATGTCTGATGTTAAATGTTTAAGACATGTAATTTGCCTTGACTATGACCTGCAGTCGTTGCTGGAAACACAAGTAGAAAACTGGACTAATGTTGAAAGTAATTATATATTTCATGGGGAGGAAGAAAGGATGCTGAAGGAATGCTTTTGGGGTGAAGAACCAGCTGATGGAGATCAAAGCTGTTAAGGAACATGAGATCTAAAAAAATCTTGTACAGTGGGCAGATGAAGCAAAAATATTTTACAGCATAACACACGAATGGTCTCTATCTGAAATGATGAAAGTTCACATTTTTTTGGAAGAAACATAGGCAAATTAATAAGGGAAAGCAAGCACAAACCGCACCAGAAAAATAATGGCAAAATCTGAAACAAGATAAAAGCACAGTGTCAGATTGACCAAAGTGTCTGCTTGTCACTTCTGTAATTTGCTGTATTCCTATTTCAGCTGCACTTCATGAAAGAAAAAGCTGTTTAATGATTCAGGAAGGGGAGAGGGGCAATTGCACAACCGTTTTCTATATGTGACCTGAAGTGATAGGACTGGAATGAGGTAGAGGTTGATTCTTTGAACTACTATCTGAATATTTTTGAAGCTTAAATCAAGAACCTGACAGGAGGATGAGAAGGATGTTAAGTCTATAAGATAATAAACAGTATGATTTCCTGTGTTTGTTGGAAGGCTGGAGGCAAAGGACTGAGTGCAATCAATGAAGCTGAGAAACATAAGTGTGTGATTAGAATTACTATAAATATAAATACAGGGAAAAAATAAAAATAAGATAAAACTGAATTGACTGGATCTTGGATCCAGTTCCAAAACAAAATGAGCAGTACATTTCTGCTGAGAGTCACTTGGAGATATCTACACTAAGTATATCCTCATTTAATCTAGCTGTAGTCACTCCATTTACAGCCAGTGGAAAGAAATGGACTTTTCTAGGACACAATTCCTTTCATCCTAATGAAGACATCTAAATTAGGCCAGATGAATTGCACTCCAGTAGTGACTATGACATCCCAATGAATACAAAGGAAATTTAAGTGCCTGCCTCATATGTAGATATCTATATTTGTAGACATTTCAAGTCGGGTGATATGAATCTCATTCTAAGACTTTATTTAGAGTGGCACAGGAGGGCAGTAGTCACAAGATACAATAAAGAAAAGACATTGGCTAAGAATGGATTCTTAAGACAGCCAGACACAAAGACTCAGATTCAAGCATCGGTATGGAACTGTCACATAACAAAACTGAGCATCACCAAGTCAGAAGAGTTTCTCTCTAAGGTATGGACTTCAAGGAGAAAATAAATATTAAGTGTTAAAAAATTTCATGGAAAAAACCCTCTATTTCTTATAAAGCGTGTGCTAGATTATGTATGCAGTAAATATAAAAGAAAAGGAGAAAATCCACTTCATCATAGGCTTTACAGGTTGGTGAAAATATTCATTTTATGATTTACCTTGGGACTAGCAAAAAATATATCAGTATCTTCAAAAAGAGCAGAGAAACAGCTGGGTAGTTTAAAATAAGAGCAAAAGACCAATTATTTTTGGTATTTTGGGACCTAATGAGAGTCTCCAAGGCAAAACTCAGAACTGTATGAGCTGGGATTGGATCCATGTTGCAATTTTTTTCTCAGTACCTTTCCCATAGGAAAGTGTGGTACAAAAAGATGAAAACAGCCTTGGTAGTTGTAGTGGTATAGTTATTCAGACCAAATAAGAGTGAACATATGGAGTGTATTGAGCATATGTACTTTTTAAAGTCTTTCTGTTGATTTCAAGAATCACAAAATAGACACTGAATAAAGAAAAGAAACTCTGCTGGGAGAACAAATATTTAATTCTTTAAAAGCATGAGAAGATTCTAAGTAAAAAATCTGGAAGATTGTAAGGAATTGTGGGTTTTTAAACACATTCAGGAGCTGAAGCCTCATTATAATTAAAGGAAATATGTCTGGAAATGTATGCCTGCTTTTGACTTGTAAAGAGTTTGCCTCTATTAGCTCTTCTTAAAGCTCATATTCATAAGGCATTCCATAAGCTCATATTCACCAACCATCTGGTATAACACAACTTGAAATGGATGAACTTAATTTAAATAATTATTTTCCTTCTTGGTCCAGCCTTTCCCACCCCCTGCCAGGATCTTCTTTAGAGGATACATATCAAGCACAGGAAATCCATCAGGAGGGAAGAAACAGCTTCCTAATTCAATCTTTTGGTCTGTACAGCTTCTCTTTCTCCACCTCCCTCCTCCTCTCTCTTGTCCCAAGATGTAAAGGTAAGCCTTTAGAAGGGGCAAGCAGCCAGCATATAGCAAAGAAATCTGGGAAAAGAGTGTGCAGCTGTCAGACTCATTCCATTGCAGTCCTGCTTTATTTGTTATTATTATATTAGGGAAAAAAAAAAAAAAAAGAGATGTATTTAAAATTTCTTTAATGGGAAAGGTTTGCAACAGAAAACTAACACAACAGGACTTAAGACCTTGAAAACTGAAGTGTAGAAAACACATTAATATATGCCTGTGGAGTGGTCTTCCTCTGGCACTGAGAACAATTAGGTGCTGCAGTAAGTAAAACCAGATTATTTCTGTGGATAGTCTTTATTGCAAATGTCTTCTCTTGTTTTGCTAGTAAATAGCTTACAATTGGTTGTGATACTCTACAACTCTGTTATGTTTATTATTCATAAGCCTTTGCCGAACAAATGCACTTTTAAGTAATTTCCAAGCTCTGAGTCATTTGCTAACTGCTTCTCAGAGGCTGTACTACAAAACCAGTCTGTCACATACTGATATTAAAGGAACTTATTCTACACTGGACTTGGGATCAAGCCATAGTCACTCGTCTTTGCACATTTTATTATGCTGGTTGCTTACACATTTTTTGAGACTTGATTAGGTGACAAATGTTAAAAATAAAGGGGAAAAAAAAGAGGAATGAATAAGAAATAATACACTTTGGGTTTGTTTTTTTTTTAAATGTTGATTTAATAGCATCTTAGAATTCAAGAACCCTTCTGCAACTTGAAAATGCGTGTTCCGATCCAGACAAATGACTTATGAATCAGACAAATTACTTCTCTTTCCTGTAATGAATTCAGAAACCATGGGAAACTAGAATCCTATTTGGCTTTGATCTGGGAAAGTATAAGATAGACAAACTTAAAACCCTGCATCTCCAAAAATAAAACCAGCACAAAGAAAAAAAGATGCAAGATGAAATTAGAGTGAAAGGAGTGAGGACTTGTTCTATAACTCTATTTTGACTTACCAGCTTTATTTTGAGGACAAGGCAGATTTCTTTATGGAGCAATAAATTACATGGAGCAACAAAACAGGAGGCAGAAGCATTGTGGTGAGGTGAGTGGAACAAAGAGAAGGAAAGCATTATAAGAGGCACAAAGAAAATGTAGTGTGAGGGGAAAGCCTACAGTGTAGGAGACAAGCTGGATGAGATCTGCTGGCCAGCCAGGAATGAGTGTGGTAGCCAAGGTATCCTGCCTGTTGATGATGACAGACCACCAGTAATGGTGTGTCACCCAGGGTGATGTCAGATGGTGGGAAATGCAAATGTAAGTGCAGAAACAATACCCTGTCTTTGGAATTATCATCACTGCTCCTGTATCCATAGTCTGCTGCTCATTTGTCCAGCCTGCACATTTTTTTGGGTGCTCAGCTTCCCACTTGTCAGATACCCAAGGCTTCTTCCCCTGGGACAGTGGGGAATGTGGTGTAGAGGGAAAATTAGTGCACATGACCCCAAGCAGAGTTTTAGAAATTACACAGTGTTCTCTCTTTCATTGGTTTCAGTTTTGTTATTGTATGCAAAACACCAGACTGAAATAACTGTTTTTTCTCATTATTCCTAAACCCTTTTATTAACTACTTAATAATTTCTGGTTAATTCCAAAGTTTTTATATTATTTTACTACCATACCCCGAAGAACTGTACTTAGATGGATTCATTCATGCCATGATCTCTCCAAGGGTAATAAAAATTTCAAGTAGCTCAGTAGGTCACAACAAAGGTTTTTGTGATTTGGAATGGTTGAACACTAAAAACTTGTGTTTATGAAACTGTCATTATTTTCTTACTCAAAGAAATGATTCAATGAGTCAAAATGCGTGGACAGATGGGCCATCAGACCATATTGTTTTCATCAGATTCACCCCGCAGCAAGAAAAGAAAAGCTAATGGGTCATATAAAATTAAACAGTAAAGTCACATAAATGCAAGCAACATTTCTCTCTCTAAGCCATTAATGTTGAATATGATAATGTATCAGTTCATATTTTTGCTTCAATACATTCAGAATCAAATCTTCCCCTCACTCACTTCGAATGAAGTGAAGTTGCTTTGGTTTTTGGGATGCTCATGGATTATCAAATGATCTATAGAAGAATAAAATAGGTTAGAATAAAAGATATATATTGAATAATGAATCAAATATTTTGAACTAAATAATGTGAATCTTTTTAGAAGTAAAAGTTTTAAAAGCTATAAATTCCTATAGCAAGGATTTCAGACTGTGACAGTAGTTAAATGATTTTATATTTTCTTGATGCAGAAGAATAAATGTAGCATATGTCTGTGGATGGAAACTACAAATGTTGATGGTAATGTTCCTTCAAAAAGTGATTGCAGGGAAAGGGGAAAAAAATAAAGTAGTACACTGTGATTTTCATATCACAGTTTGTATTTTGAGCATTATGTATGTTTGTGCCTGTGCATGCATAAAATAATGAAAGAGTTTTGGTTAGCATTCTGTCTTCCATGATGATGCCTCTGTTCTCAAATCCATTGAATATCAATTTGCACATTTTGTTTACAAGTTTTAGTTCAGATTGCAAATAAATACCTCTTATTTCAGATTTTCCAGGAGATAACATGTCATTGCTGTAACTGTAAGACAAGGCTGATCTTCAGATATTAATTCTTCTGAGATTTTTCTGTCTCTCTCACCTTTTGTAAGTACAAAACCCATCCGTTGTAACTGATTATTTTTTAAGATGGAAGCCCTTCATGGGACAATGGAAGTTTAATTTATTGGACAAAATATAGATTAGAAAAACCATTTCCAGCCTTCACCAAGAAACCGCTTGGACACCTCATATTCTTTTCAGCAAATTGTGTGATTTAAATAGTTTAAGTATCTAAATAATAAGATATAAGATTTCTCAATAAGGAACACCTTCCACTATCCCAGGTTGCTTCAAGCCCTTCCAACCTGGCCTTGAACACTTCCAGGGATGGGGCAGCCACAGCTTCTCTGGGCAACCTGAGCCAGGGCCTCGCCACCCTCACAGGGAACAATTTCTTCCTAATATCTGATCTAAACCGACCCTACTTAAAGCCCTTCCCACTTGTTCTTTCAGTCCAGGTCCTTATGAAAAGTCCCTCTCCAGCTCTCTTGGAGCCCATTTAGGTACTAGGAGGTGCTGAAAGGTCTCCCTGGAGCCTTCTCGTCTCCAGGCTGAACAACCCCAGCTCTCCCAGCCTGTCAGCCCCTAAGTAACACGCAGATGTGTATTTGAGTCCTGGTAGCAAACGAGGAATTTGGTGATGTACCGAGGTAAAAACACACTCAGGCAAACTGGGAGGACAGAGGATTACCATCGGTCGTGTGTCTCTAGTTTGCATGGCTCGTGTGAAAGGATGTGATGCACAATGAACATTACTAAAGACTTCTTGTCACGTTAGGAAAGTTATCAGCTCATTTTGGGTCTCAGTTCGTGTATAGAAACAACTATCAGCTTTTTTCTACTGCCTGTGTTTCTATTGAATGTCTTTAATGCAGGGCTGGTCTTTGTTATGTGTTGTCTTAGCATCATTTCCTAAAGAATTCTCTGCTTACTATGAAGCCATGCAGAAGTACAAACCCCCAAAATAATGAAAAAAAAAACAAACTTATTTTTTAATCACGACCACCAGTGGTAGATACATTTTAAACACACACTTTAAATTTGTTCAGAGATGCCAGTTTCGGTGCTCAGAGGTTTTATCAGCATTCCCAGACACTGCTTCCCTGTACTGCAAAAGTAAAAGTTACATTCAGCTGAATGACTCTGAGAATATTCTATGACACAATAGCAAAGGAGAATGTTAAACTGTGCATTTTCAGACTCAGGCAAACTGATGCTTTAGTAAAATGGTATCAGTAGTACAGGAAACTCCGAGAGCCCCTTCAGCAGCCACAAAAGGGCCTTTGAAAGAACTGCAGTAATTACCTGCAAAGAACTGTGTGATCATTAACTGTTAACCTGAAACTTCAGTAATGTTTTATTTTACCCATGAGCGCTTTTTTCACTTTCAGAGTGAGCTCTGCTATATCGTCAATCTTCCCAGAAAAATCCCCTCGACTTTGCTGGTGCTGCAGTATAAAGCAATCTGCTCTCTGACCAAACATTGCCTGGCAGGTTGCTGGCACAAGCAGAAAGAAGTAGCATAAAATAATCACATATACAATGTAATTGGAAGGATTGCCAAGAATAATATGGAGGATTTGTTGCTAAATCACATGGAGAAAAAAAAAACAACAAACCAACCTGTAGATGATTTTTAAACCAAGTCTAAAAGATAATGATGGTTTGTTAAGTTGTATTGTCGAGTTCTCCCTCAGATTGAGCACAGATTTATCACACTGTATAAAAAAGGTGGAACTCTAAATTGTGTCCTGGAAACATTACAGACAGGTTAGCAGGTATATAGCCAACATAAATACAGGCAAATACACGTAAAGGAAACTGGAGTTGTTATAGGAGTTTTATTTCTCCCATTAACACTGCTAGGTGTGGCAATTCCCTCCATCTACAGCATTAATTAGCTTAAATGAGTAACATACATAGGGAATAGCATTGCTATTAGCTCAGGAGCTGCCACATCTACAGGAAATGTGATTATCTGTTTCTGTATGTGCTCTCTGTATCACAGATGCCTTTATCACATGCTATATAATCATGTGCTTTTTAACCTAAGGATGACAAGCATGGGCTTTGATGTCTCTTATGCAAAAGTTAGAGAGGAAATGCAGATTCCCACATTAAAATGTCCACCAGCACTGTCACATTATTTAAAATGGATAAATAAAGTCATTATCTGTTGTCTTATTCACCACGAGGAAGGAAAGAAGGGTGTTAGATAAAACAGTTTGGGAGAAAATTTAAATGGGTTATTTGAATTCAGATTTCATAAAAATTTGAAATGTTAACCCAAATTTGGGATTAGGTGGATACTTGGGATGGATATATTTTTGGTTGGTTGGTTGGTTAATTTTGGTTTTGCTTATTTTTTTTTCCCGAAAGCTTGAAACCTTAAGAATCATTTCAACCATCTTTTTCCTATGGAACAGAGTACCTTTCTCCTCAGCAATCCCTAAACCAAATCATCAAGATCCAGTGACCAAAGCACTTATGGATGGTCTCTGTTAACATGAGGCAATCTGGACACAGACATGATTAGTGAAGTGGTAATGTGTTTATTAAAGCTGATTTCATCCAACAGACATCTTAGGAAGGTCTGAGAAGCTTTTTTGTTAACATCACTAGAAAATTCATCCACAACAAATTTTTAGTGTTTTCTTTCCATATTTTCACCAGTTCTTTCTCTCCTTAGCACATTCTGTGGTTTTAAAGCCCTGATTGTGTCTTGACAAATACGTTGAAATTTTCATTGGCATAACCAAATCAGGTCTATGAGTTCCAGCTTTATGCTGGTCTCCCTCCAATCATTTCTGTGGATGAAAACTGCTAAATCACGCTTATCAAAAAAAGAGTCTCTGAACAACAGACCACAACTAAAACTTCTATTTCTCTGTTCTTCCCCATTATGTTATTTGCTTTCTGCCTTTTATGTCATGCACTTTTCTTTCCCATCTATTCTTGCCTTGTATCCACTGTTTTACATACAGTTATCCTGTTTCCTTCTTGTTCTGCTTTAACATTTCAATGTTTTCTGTAGTTTTCTACCAAAGTGCATTCAGTTTTAGTATTAAACTTAACTACAGATATCTAATTTGAGAATATAATTAAAAGCATCACTGCTAGTTTCTGTCTTTCTAGTGAAAAAGAGTGCTGCAGTATTTTGATTTTCCAGATATGAATACTAGCAATATATTAATAGAAAAAGCTAATAAAAAAAAATCAGGTAATATATGCTAGACAGCAGCTTGTCAATGGCATCTCTATGATGAATTAAAGCAAAGGAAGTGGGTTTTGATGCTTGATAAGTAACTATAGCATAATCACATGTTTGTTGATATAAGTTGAGATATGTTTGACTAAAGATGACTTCCATGTCAAAGGAAATTGAACTGATATTCAAAGAGTCTTTTCCTGTTGCTTTGGGCTATGAGTTCATGGGTTCTCACAGATGGAGTGAGGAAAGAGAAAGAAAAAAAAAAAAAGGAAACAGAAATAGATTAATAATAGCAATGGATTTAAACACAAAGTAAAGAGAATGGACCAGGGACTTTTATTATTGCTATAATTAGCAGAATTATGAAGATGTATCTGCTTAGCTCATGCCAGTCTCTTGGGGATAGCCTGGAAAGAGATATTATGCTATATAGCAATGCAGAACAGAAGTTAACATAAAGCATTTTCTTGCTTTTCTTACATTTTTCCCATTGACTATACAGTGATTTACACAAGCTGGAGGTATTATATAGTTTGAATTCACATCTCTGTCTGCTGTGAAAACCTGTGGTTCTAAGGTCACAAAGAACTTATTGGACTGTCTGTTCTCATACAATGTTCATATCAGTCACTGAGTATTTCTCAGAAGTAGGATGAAAGAATAAACTGAAATAATCTCATGAATATACATTTAGATAACTTATAATTACTTCAGATTTTAAAACAGAAATAGGACCTGAACTCCATGATCTTACCAGCAGAGCAGATCAAAGAGAGGTATCTGTTTTGTGTATATATACATATATATATGTAAATAGAATTTTAATTACATTTTCTAATATCAACAGGAAAACAAAACCCCATATCCTAATCTATAGCTTTCTGGTCCCTAATTACAATAATATAGTTGAAAAGTCATTTAAATAAATACACATAAAATAAAGAAGCTACAGGTCCTCCTAGGTGAGAGGTTATAGAAAAACAAAAGCAATAGAAATAAAATGAAATAAACCTTTTTACTTCTTTTTGAACTATTCAGCTCGTTAGGGATGAGGCATGGGAAGAAACAGGAAAATAACTCTGTGCTCGAGTTACCTAAAATTAGACTGAATAAAGCTTCTTTAACTATGCTATAGAGAACAATTCCACACTAATGGCACATGAACTTAAATGATCTCAGCTGATCTTTTCCAAAGCTGATTCTTATGGGGCTACTTTTTTTTGCTGACATTCCCATTAATGGCTTGTAAAGGAGAGATAAAGAGAGTGAATGCAAAAGGCTGTTATCACAAAAGTTACCCCTAATTGGTCAAGGGATCTTTTTAAATTAAAACATCCATTAGAGTCTCTAGTATCTCGATCACAATGTTATGTTACATATTTTCCTTAATGTAAATAATTTATCTTTGCACGTGTGTTGTGTGGTTGTGCACTGGACAGAAAGTTTGAAAAAACTATGCCGAAGATGTTTAATTTGTCATATGCTTTAATGAAAAAGGTTTTTCTTTCAAATTGTCAGTAGCTTTTTGCTCCAATAAGTTTTATTGTGTGATCAGCAGAGTGGCTTTGGAGTTACACCCAGAGCACAGCTCTGGAAGTAAATAAGGCACATGTGTGCAACTGGAATTGCACTTAGAGCTTCAATAGTCTCCATAATATTAATGGCCAAGTGATTTGGGTTGTATCCCCACTGTTGCAGTGAAACAGGAGACATCTAAGGTATGGAAAGTAACTGCTGCTATAAAGTCCTAAATGGCTGCAGATGTGCTACAACACTTTCATGATATGTTGGAAATTAAAAAGTTAGAATAAATCACAATGTGACCCCAAAAAAAGAACTCCTAAAAGACAAAAAGAGCTTTTCCTAGTCAGTCTGATCTCAGAAGCCATTGCTTATGATATTACCCTAAAGAAAGCTAAAGACTATAAAACTGTTGTCACTGGAGCATCCCTCTTGCATTGTGGTTTGTGCCCCGTTAAACACTAGTGCTGCTGTGGTTCCTGCAAACTTTTCTGCGATGTCCTTGGAAAACACTGCCATGTACTCATCAATAAATCAAATCATAATGAGAGTTATGAAAGCAGAGCCTTTGTTCAGTAAAACACAAATGCCACTTTTTGTATCTACTCAGAAAAAGTATGGTTGGTTAAACTTCACAGATGATGGTTCAGGCAGAGACTGCCAGGAGGACAAGCCACCATCATCTCTCCCCAGTGGGATGTTCCCCAGCTCATGTTCAGGCTGATAAATACTTCCCAAATTACTTGACTGCCCGTGAAGTAAGTGAGCTGCAAAATCAGAATTAAGACAAGGGATAAATGTGATCTTAAGTATATCAAATGGTCATAAAATTTGCAGACCAAGCTTTCCCACTGTGCTTAGAGAGTGCTTCATTTAAGACTGCCTGGACTTCAGATCTCATCTGTTCACTAAAGGATATGCATGGTTCATTCCTACTGCCACCATTTTTATTCACATCATCCCACCAACAACTCCAGGGTCAGTTCTAATAACTGGGAATTTGAGACACCCAGCTGAGCACTCACAATTTGAACTAAAGACTGAAAGTCAAAAAAACAACATTTTCTCACTGCATTACAACTGGCTCATAGCAAAGAGCCATGTTCATCATGGAATCATAGAATCATCACAGAATGGCTTGGATTGGAAGGGACCTTAAGATCGTCCAGTCCCACCTCCAGACATGGACAGGGACACATCCCATTAGCCCAGATTGCTCCAGCTTGGTCTTTGGCACTTCCAGAGATGGGGCAGCCACAGCTTCTCTGGACAACCTGTGCCAGGGCCTCACCACCCCCACAGTTAGGATATTCTTCCATCCTTACTCATATTCAGGTGTAGATGACACAACAAGTTGGCTTCTTACTGGGTACAAACCTGAGAAGATGGTCCTGCTCTCATTCTCTGCCTTGTTCCTATCCAATGCCTGTGTCTCCATCATGATATCAACTCTGTCATTCTGCAGAGGAGGCAACTCCCATCTCTGTGAATCCACAGCAAACCCCTGCTGAAGAGCACACAGATCACTCAGTCTTGTGCAAAGCATTTGTCTGCAAACTCTTTATCTTTTTTTTTCAGTATAAAATAAAAGACATCTTGTAAGGATATAATCAAATAAAACAAATGCCCATCAGGAAAAGAGAATCATACTCAGATTCCATTGTTCGTGACTTTCACAAATTCATACAAAGTTGTCAGCAGAGTGGTATATTTCTGTTCTCTGTTCCTGAATGATATTTCATTTTGATGTTCTCACAAAAAACCACTTCATCGCTGAAAGGACCTCAAAAACTAAACCATGAGAAAGAGTAGACAGTCATTTTTTGTCTGTATTTGTGCTACAAAAGACAAAAGGATTTTATGAGATGGTGAACAATGAGTTCTCCTTTGCTGTTCAGATATGGGACCCACATCTCCTGAGTACAAAATCTATTTACTTACAGAACAATGTTAAAAGATGACACCAGTGATAATTCACTGGAGAAGCTGAAAACAGCAAGGCAGGATGGGTCATCTTCTTCAAAGTGACAAAAGAGAACAGTTGTATCCTTTGACAAAACAAAATTGGACCTAAACCCTGAAATATGTACTGCCCTTTATTTGAAATTACCAGTGAAACCCTTGTGATTCCAAAGCAGATTGGACATTGTCCATAGTTGTCTTCTGCTGTCTATGGAAGATGATAAGAAGCAGGCAGTAGCTCATTTTAGCCATTCTGCCAAAATCAATAGTATTTTATAGAGAGCTTCAGTGAGAAACAACTTGTCGTGCCAGCAACTGAAGCAGAATGTGTCAAAGGAATTAAACTCTTCTTTTTAAATGCTTTGGAGTAATTGAAGGGAATGTGAAGGAGGTATTCCATAAGCTTTGCAGCCCTAATAGGGATGGAAGTTACCTCTCTCCAGATTGCTGCTCTGCAGAGCTGCCTTCAAGGTCAGAAAAGCTTTTGCCTGAGTAAAGGCTGAAGGGCTGGAATAAGAAGTGGGTTTAAACCAGATCAGAGGTGTTTGAGTCTTAGTTTGAGTGCCTTACTTTGGAAACCTGACCACCGACACTCAGTGTGAGCTCAAGCAGTCCCTTTGCCTTAAAAGCAAGAGAAGTCTTCACCCACTACAACCATCCTCATGTGTGTATACTTCAAGGGTGTTTGAAAATTGACATCTGTGAGCTCTGGAAACTTAATTGCTTCCACCATGCATTAGAGTTATGATTATTTAGATATCTGTACACCTTCAGTCTCCTCTTATACCTTCCTCTATGCAGTAATGCTCCTCTCCACGAGCTGGAATGCAGGGGGGGAGCTGAGGGCAGGACTCAGCGAGGCAGAGCTGTCACAAGCAAAGGTCAGTTCTTCAAGAGGTCAGTTCCCTCCTGAAGAAATCCCAATCACATAAAAATCTGAACCCCTTCAAACCTCCCTCCTTAAGACCATTGCACATTTGAAACAGCTTCTCATTCCTAATAAATGTCCCCAGTGCATAAATGGGCTAAAAGAGAGCTGGAGAGAGTCCTTGGACAAGGGCCTGGAGTGGCAGGACATGGGGGAATGTCTTCCCACTGACAGAGGGCAGGGTTAGATTAGATATTCAGAAGAAATTCTTCCTTGTGAGGGTGATGAGGCCCTGGCACAAGTTGCTCAGAGAAGCTGTGGATGCCCCATCCCTGGAAATAGCTGTACAGGGCTTGGAACAACTCGGTCCAGTGGAAGGTGCACCTGTCCAAACCATTCTATAATCCTATGAAATCTGCTGCAACTATTGAAGGTTCCAGGGCAGTGTGACAGACAGCTTGCTATGCATTAACTGCACTAGATAGGTTGGAGGTTAAAACTGCCTTAGTTGGTAAGACCAAAATTTGTCTTTCGGGACTATGAAAGCTGTTTTGCCTCCATTGGCAAAAAAACCCCAAAAACCGTAAGACAACAAAATTATCAAAGTAAAACCAAAACATTAAAAAAAAAGAGGCTTTTTATTTTTTGAAAATGGTCTCTTACAAGGCAGGATCCTCAGATTTGGTGATTAGCTTCATTTGCCAATTTGGCTTCTATGTCTTGAATAAAGCTGCAAGGTTCAGCCAGTGTTTCATGCCCTCTGTTTTCCCAGTTAGCTGGTAGTTTCTGCCTGCATGTAGAATCTCAATTGCCCATTTCTTGCCACAGATATGTCACTTTTCAAAATTAACTCTTGTATGACGATGTCCTACAGTGTTCTCTCCACTTTTCACTAACATTCAGGGAAGGGAGTGTGCCTGCATGGAGGGCCATAGATCAGTGATCAGGGTAGTAGGTGCCTCTTTTTCCCCAGTCCCTACTTTACAATGGCTGTGGTTATAAACCTCCCTCAGGGGTTTTATAAGGTCTCCCAGCCCAGTGCCTGCAATCACTAGAGGACGGCTCTAAAACACGGGACTGTACATACCATTTTCCCCATCGCCTGCTCTTCTGTGAAGAACGGGAATAATTTCTACTCAATATTTCCCATGAACAGGTGATTTGTCAGAGAAGGGACCCACTGTATACTGTCTGATAAACTTCTCTAAAATGGCATACTTTCATCTTTCTTTCTTTCTTTTTTTTTTTAAATCTATCTAGTGACTGATATATCCTCTCTATTTGTCTCCAATTGCCTTCCTGTTGTGACACCAAGTAAAACCATAAAACATGAATGCAGAAACACAGTGTTGACTAAATCTTCAGCTCTGGGATTGGAAAGAAGACCATTGTGCCAGCACCTGAACACTCTGAAGGGTTTTCCCCCCTCATAATTCTTTGGATGAAAACACTTCTGGTGAAGTTAACATTCCTAGGTTGCAGTGTAATTTAATTTGTCATTGTAAGTGGTATTTGTTCGACATTCACTTAATAATTTAAGAGAAAGGAGTTATCTTTGAGTATAAAGAAGTAAATATGTTAAAACCCACTTAGCCTGTGAGTAGTTTTATTTTCTGAGTCATTCATAAATGACAACTAACCTAAAGTGTTTAAAAATATTTGTCCATAATAATAATAACAGCAAAACCCAATGTGAGTGTCTGAAAAGTTCATTAGCTTAGGGAACAACAATGCCACCTGTTTTGTTCAGTCATTTGTGGGGGGGACAGGGATTATAAACAGCCTGTATAATCTGATTTAAAACACCTTTTTGTAACTAATCTTAGTGTCCAGTTTCTGCATATTAAATGTTACAATGTAAAAAGAATCTAATAAAATTACATTTTTTGTCATATGAGATTTTGTTATACAGCGTTTCAATTTACTTCTACACCTTGCATGAGGTGATACATCATTATGTTCCAATAAGAGCAGCTATTCAGTCACACACATTTTGTCTTCATGGTTTCAGAATACTAATTTTGACCACTAGTTTTAAAGTGTCAAATCTAAGGTGATTACTTTCCCAGTGTTTATTTCAGAGCCCTTTTTCAGACATCACTGAATATAAATATAAATATGTCAGCATCTCAGCCCAAACTGTGCTAGAAAACCATTTATCTTTTCCTGTTGAAATAGGTTTTTTTAGATATCGATTTACTTTCATTATTTTTCACACAGATTGCTTTTAATGCAGCTACTTCAACAGTAGACAATAAAGCATGTTCTTAATGGAATAGTTTTGCATATCTCTCTAGGTCAGTAGTCTATTTAAAATGGAGCTTGTCAGACTCAGATATCGTTGCCTATTTTTTCCTTAATGGTAAAAACAAAGAAATAGTAGGCAAGTAGGTGGATACCTAACATTTGTGCAGCTCCACTTATTTGTTCTACAAAATGAAGTGAAGACCTTTACTGTCATCGTGAGTAACCTGTTAGAGGAACAGCTGAAAAAAATGCTGGATGCACAGTGCCCATTTAAAGCAGGGACCAGGCAAAACCTGATTTGAATGCAGCAACTGTATGAATTTACTGTGATATACAGGGCTTGTGCTGCAGTGAATTTTAAAATGGAAGGTTTCTGTTCAAAGCTCTCCACCAAATCCCAGCAGATCTTAAAACAGCTATTGAGACCTTCCACAGATTGCCCCTGTGAGCAAGGAGAAGAAACTTAATTTCTTCATATCATGGCTTCCCAACCTTAATTCCACTTCAGGGATGTCATTTTTCTTAAAAGGTGAGAATTTAATTGCAGTGACAGATTCATTTGATATCTGGTAGTTCTGATGAATATTTTTAAGGAAAGTAAATAGCCCTTCCCAACTGCTAGTGTTACCTAATACTAGACCAGGGAAAATACCTTCTCTTGACTCAAGTCATAACCTCTAAACACTGAAAAGACTAAACAGGCTGCTTAACATTTCCCTAACTCATGGAACTGAAGAAGCAGGACTTAGCCAAATATGTACATGTATTTCTTTACATAATAAATAAAATTATTTCTTCTAAAAATATTATGTTGCTTTGAAATCAAAGAGTTAAGGATATCAGGTATGTTAGCACTTCTATAGGAAGCTTGTTTTATGCTATCTTGTTTATCTTGTGATTAGCTATTCTGTCAGAGTAGAGCACATGTCTAAATTGGGCAAAGGATAATATTTTATATACTTGAGCTCCAGAAGGTGTGGTTTTCTTGCTATTAACTGTTAGCACTTAATCTTCAGTAGGGCTTTTGACCTTCCCTAGGGTTGCCTTAGAACCTGTGACAAGCAGTGGCCACCATACAGATCTGCTTTGCTAAACTTTGTGTAAGGCAATACAGAGAAATGAGAAGGGATTACTGAGCATCAGTCTGTACAGTCCAAGTTTGTTGGCAATACTATTCCTGCACAGTGTGCTCTCCTGCATCCCAGAGTGGTATAAATATTTCCACCTCAAGGCTATGGGTATGAAATCACAGTGAGACTCAACTACCACTCCAGATCCTAATACTAAGGCTTTCTAAGTGTTCTAGTGCTTGCTTGTGCCACGAGAGTATATTTCTACACTTCTGCCACCAAAATCACCTTTTCAAACCTTACTTTTTTCATGCATAAAACAATGGATCTAGCTGAGGCATTGTTAACATCCTTAACACTACAGAAGTTTTAATGATGTGCATAGTTTCTAGGCAACTAATTCCTATTACCTTTGAAAGCAATCAGTTGGTTCTTTTACCTTATATTCTCATGAAATATCATAGATAGGCATAGTTAGCTTAAAATTGAAATAATATCTTCAAGGCAATTAAACGTAGTTAAAATATATTGCTTTCTTGAAACCTAAATACTTCAAAATAGTGAATACTGCTAAAAGAATTGTCTTCCAATGAGAAGCAGAAACAAATTTGAAAAGCATTGAAAACTTCAGCAAGTAAGAATTCCTTAAAACATCATCTGTAGCTCTTGGAGCAAAGAAAAGCAGGTGACCCATTTCTGATTCACACAAACAGTCTTTGCACACACTCATCATATTTCTAGTAAAACTTGGGCAGTCTCCCTTCTCTGCCCTCCCCCCCCCAGAAGTGTGTGAGGAGTGGTGAAAATAGCTCCTAAACAATACAGTAAAGAGGGAGTTTTGTAACTGGAATGGATTAAAGGTTTTGACTAAATGAATCACATTGCTGAAAGGAGTTTCAAACTGTACATCATCAAAACTATTTATTTGACAATCTAAGTCATCGTATGTGTCAAGGTGCAGCTCTGCAGGATAGATTTAGCTATTCCCACAAAATCCCTTCCCTTTGCAGAAATATGTTTTGTTTGGCAGCCAAAGCTCCCAAATGAAGACCCCGGTGAAGATACATGGCTATACAGAAGTGTGCAGGTGTTTAGAAGTGAAGAGATAAGGATATTTTTCAGTACCTCTGAGGAGAAAATTATCAGGCAGATTTCTCCTCAGATCCTTGGAGTTGCGCCAGCACCTTGCTGCTCATAACCATGTTTAAACTGAAGCACTCATGGAAATGTCAAATTGATAACACTGAAAACTGAAATGCATCATGTATTCATAGACTACATGGAAAGAGTCAGAGAAATGCAATTCAGAAGGAAATGAGGGAGGCCCACAAGAAGGCTGGAGAAGCACTTGACATGATAGGATGAGGGAGAATGGCTTCAAAGTGAAGGAGGGTAGATTTAGATTAGATATTAGGAAGAAATTCTTTAGTGTGAGGGTAGTGACGCCCTGGTACAGGTTGCCCAGAGAAGCTGTGGCTGCCCCATCCCTGGGAGTGTTCAAAACCAGGTTGGACAGAGCTTGGAGTAACCTATTCTAATGGAAGTTGTCCCTGTCCTTGGCAGTGGGATAGGAACAATTCCATAATTCTATGAAATATAAGATAGTGTAATCTAAGCTCCTGTACCTCCTTAGCCCCATAGCTGACTATTCCTTTGACTCAAATATGTGTGAAAACACACTCCAGTCAGATCAGTGGGAAGCAATGGATCGTGGTTGTTCATAATAACAAAAATAGTTTTGGCCTTTGGGCAGTCAGACAGGTTGGGCAGTGCATCAATATTTCAGCTAGAGAGATATTCAAGTTCTCTTTCTGCATTTTCACTCCTTATGATAATATGTGTGCCTGTTGTGTATCTGTAGCGTGGGGAGAGTTGAAGAAGGACAGAGAAAGTATTTTGGGAGCACAGAGGTATAAGGTATCACCTTTCAAAAGTAGCAGAATAAAAGTGGCTCTGACAGAGATAAAAAAAAAAAAATTAAGAGAACTCGATGGTTTTATGTATTTAATTCAACACATCAATTCATATTAGACTAGTCCCATGAGAAAAGAAGGAGGAATTAAGTATTTGAAGCTGATAATGATATAATAACATTTATCATGGCAGGCTTTGTAGTAGTAGTAATGCTTTCCTTTGTAAGTTACTATTTAATTTAAACCAAAGTGTGATTAGGTATGTTGAGATCTTGACCATCCAAAAGAGAAAGAAAAAAAAAAAGTAAAACATAAAATATGCAGCCTTTTAACAAAAAATGAGCTTAGACTTTTTGCTTAGACACTGAAACATGGCATTCAATGATGGAGATTTGCCATGAGTTTCAGACTTGATTTATATCCCTAAGACTTTAATGATCCCAATATTGGTAATCTACAAGCAAACAAATGTGGCATTTCTTAAATATTCTTAGAATTTATTAATTTTCAAGAAGAAATTCAATTAGTAGAACTCAATTATTTCTTTAAAAAATAAATAAATTCTGTCCACATCCATCACTGAGAAGCTCCACTGTTAATATTTTTATTATTAATATTTTCCTCCAGCTTTTCAAAATTTCAGCTTCAGCAACAGCCTCTGATCAAAAGTTTTGCCATTTTATTTATGAGAAAGTCAAAAGAAAAGGGACCAAAGCAAGTTACAAGAATAAGTGAGGAAGAAATAGATATGCTTCACCAAGCATAATTTCCAGCCCTATGTGTTTAGTACATTATCAAACAAAAATGTCTTTATTAACATTATTAAAAACTTTTGTAGACTTCACAGAAGAAAAAAAAAATAATCTGACAGGGATTTTTTTACCTAATTCCCTTGAGAAATGATGCTCATGAGCTCCTTCTTTCTTTCTTATTCCATATGGCACTTCTGCTTCCTCTAATATTGAACACATTTGCCAGTTTCAACATAGAGTCCACAAAAAAAGCAAAATGTTATGAATGCCTTGACCAAGTTAAAGCTTTAATGAAAGCTTTAATGCCAACCATTGTGGTTTCCATCCTGTGGAACAAGCTCATCCCATCAGACAAAGGTAAAGACAGATCTAAGCATTGCATTGAGTGCAATCCAGGTCAGTTGGCCAAAGACATTTTCACAGCTCTTTCTGCTACTACCCTGGCAATTTGAATTCCCTAGGCTTGAATTTGAGGACCCAAAAATAGAATCACACTATGGTTTGGGTTGGAAGGGACATTGAAGACCATCCAGTTCCAACCCCCTGCTGTAGGCTGGCACATTTCCACTATCCCAGGTTACTCCAAGCCCCATCCAACCTGGCCTTGGACACTTCCAGGGATGGGGCAGCCACAGCTTCTCTGGGCAACCTGTGCCAGTGACTCAGCACCATCACAGTTGGAAATTTCTTCCCAAGATCTCATCTAAATCTATCCAATGACACACTGATTCCTTTCCAGAACACCTTGATGTCTCTGACATTTTTACCATTCAGGAGGAATCAGCTA